GTCACTGACCGGGTCTTATAAACTAATAATATAGAAGCCTAAGAGTTAATAACATTGAGGCCTAAGAATTAGCAAAAAATTAAGAACTCGAACCCGGTCACCAACCGGGTCTTATAAACTAATAGCGTTGAGGCCTAAGAATTAGCAAAAAATTAGAAACTCAAACCCGGTCACCGACCGGGTCTTAAGAGCTAGTAGTTATATACCTAATTACATTATATTAAAAGAAAAATTATAAATGGCGACCCGTCGCCATGGCGATCCTTGGAATTAACCAATTATTTTTTGGTCTAAATACTGCAATAGACCATAATACCAACCTCACTGCATGTTACACCTGATCCTGAAATTTTTTAGAGATAACAGTTATAGTTTGTGTATGCGAGCACAGCAAGTATATTAACTTTGTTAAAGGTAGTTATTTTTTTTTTTGCTATAGTTCTTATATACGTAAGTATATTAACTAGCTTTTTTTTTTCTTATATTGTCAAGATACAGGTTACTCTATATAAAAACCTCAAAATTTACTAATAGACTCTCGATATAGTAAAGAAAATTTCACGGCCCAATCACTTCATTATAATGAGAGTGACTTGTATCTTTAAACTCAGATTGTTTTCATACAAAAAGTTTTATTGTTCTAGTTTTAAACACAGTAACTATTATTCTTTTTTTCTTGCAGATATTAACCAAAGATATTTTTGAGCTTATTATAAGTTGTATGTTTCGTTGGTATTCTAAAAATATTGTTTATTTATCTGGTTTATAACATATATGACTTTTTTTTTTTTTCAGATATTAATCAAAAGCCTAAGTAGCTTTTTTATTCTGGATTTTGAATTTCACGGAAAAGGTATTGACTAAAAGTATCTCTAACCTAGTTGGTTTTTATATTTCAACTCTTGAGGTTTGAATAAGTTCTGATGCTTTTTTTTTTTCCCAGATATTAGTTACTATAATTACTTCTAGTTAATTGTTTTTTTTTTTGTTTTTTTTGTATTCCGACTCAATATTATTGGTGGTATATTGTTTTTGTTATTAATTTTTGATTAATATATTATTTTCTTCTTTTTAAAAACATCCAAGTATTTTCATTTTAATTGTTTTACAAATTCTGGCTCTTGGATCATTATTCGTTTAAACTGTTAGCAGTTGTTTTTCTTTAATTACTATAATTCACTGTATAAGATAACCCTTTGATTTGTATTGGGTATGTTTCAATAATATTTTTTCCTAAAGCTAGTGCATTCTCTTCATACAATATATATACTCTTTGTTATATAATATATTTGAATACAATCAGATTTTTTCCGTATAGAATATAAATGCTCTAAAATTAAATATTATCATGTAGAATATAAAATACCCAGGCATTTTATACAGCAAATTATAGTGGAGGTAGGGTTAGACTATGGTTAGAAGGTTAGATTAGTTACGCTATAATGTATAAATTTAGTAGATTATATGATGTCTGTAAATTGAGATTAGATAAATAAAAATAATTCTTGTAAATTATTATTAATGATATCTAATTCTAGTAGCGTTGGTTGATAATCTAGGTTATGCTATTTCTGTATTTGATATGACTAATTTTAAAAGGCTATAAAGTCATATTAACCTTCGTTATTGCCAAATGACAAGATCATATTAGTCATTTAAGATCATTGGTGCGTAAATTGTTACGTATACAGTATTTTGATATATATTCGATGCATGCTATACTATGTAATATGTACTATTTGTTATGATAGTATATATTAGTTGAAAATTTTATATAAACCTCGATTTTTGGTTTTGGTCACAGTAGTATAATATTATTTTGCACTAATGCTGTGGTTTAATGTTTAGAGTACACTATGTCACGTTCTAGTTAAATGTTACACCCAATTATATGTTACGTGCATTTATATTAAAAAATTTGCAGTTAAGTTGTGATAATCCAAAATAAATAAGTCTAGTAAAATGAAACTAAATTGAAAGTGAAAAAAAAAACAATAATAAAAGAGAGGAGAGCAAGGAAAGAGAGCAGGAGCAAAAAAAAGAAGCAACAAAGAAGAGAACCAAAAAGAAAAAGAACAAATAAGAAAGGAAACAAAAGTGAAAAAAATAGATATTAAGTAAGACTGACAAAACTCTAGCCTAAAAAAAAAAAAAAAGAAACAAAAAAAGAACAATAAAAAGAGATTATAAAACTACCTTTTTTACTATCTAAAAGAAAAGGAAAGAAATGAATAATAAACAAAACTGATAAACAACTGATCACCTAAAAAAAAAATTATCCAACGTCCTTATTAAAGTTTCAGACTTGTAAGATACAAACATCGTATTTGCCTTATTGAGTATTTTACTATTAAACTAATACAATAAGTCTAATTCACTACAATTTCAAATTTGCTTAATTTTTAGCCTGAATTTTTATTATTTTTCAAATCAAAGATCATAAAGTTTCTTATAAGATATAGCATAAATTTCTGTTCAAATATGAATGAGTCAGACATTGAGCTTGAAGCGTTTATAGCATCAGAAGATTCTTCTGATATAGATGAGTAGGTAATGAGATATTTTTAGTTGTTTGTTATAATAATTAATGTTTATTTATTTTTTTTAATTTATTTTATAGATTTGATGATAATGAAGACGTTCTGGAGCTTTTTGTTGGTAAAACATTTGAAAATTGGGATCAAGTAGAAAAATTTATGAAAAAATATGCAGCTATTAAAGGTCATGGAGTATGGATTGGTGGTGGAGGAAGAATTAATACAGCAACTCACCAAATATTAAAACGATCATATTTATGTCGCCATGCTGGCAAGCCTCCAAAAAACATGCAACCAAATGGAACGTCTTGTCGAGTAGGATGCCCTTGGAAAGTTAATATTTGGACAAAAAAAGATAAAAATTGTCTTGAAGTTACAACCATGAATGATCAACATGTTGGTCATGAACTTCAACCATTAGCAAGTCGTTTTGATCCGACATTACGGAAATTATCAAAAGAAATTGTTGAAGAAATTCGTTTTTTAACGGTTGTTGCTAAGGCAGATGCAACAATGCAATATCGAATAATCCGTGAGAAGTATAATACCAGAATATATAGACCAGATCTTTATAATACTATCAGTAGATTTCGTCGTGATTCAGAACCTGGCAGAGAAGACACAGGAATATTGTTAAAAAGGCTTTATGAAAAAAAAATTGAAGATCCTCGATGGGTGTTTTCAGTAGAAATTGATCCGGTTACATCTTCTTTAACTCATTTATTCTGGATGAGTCCTGAACAACAAATCTTGTGGTTACGCTATCATGATGTAATAATGCATGATAATACATGCAAAACTAATCGCTACAATCGACCTTTATCAATTTTCGTCACACCTGACAACAATTTAAAAACACGGATTGTAGCCCAAGCAATTGTTGATGATGAAACACAGTATTCATACGAATGGGTTTTCAAATGTGTTAAGGAAGCAACTGGCTTAGCACCTAAAGTTTTTGTAACAGATGGTGACCCGGCAGTTAATGGTGCGGTTATAGCTCAATTTCCTAATACCTTTCACATGCATTGTATTTGGCATATAAGCCAAAATTTGCCAAAAAATTTAAAAGGTGTATTGGGTTCAAACTTTAATGATTTTATAAAGGATTTTTATATAGCAAGAAACAGTATAATGAAGGAAAAATTTAATGAAAGGTGAATAGTTATCATATTATTTAAATATTTTGTGAATTGTTAATATGTTATATTTTGTAAATAGTTATTGCCATGTTATAAAGTATTAAAATTATTTTATTATATAAAGATGGGAAAAACTATTACAAGAGTATCCACAAGCGAAAGATTATTTAATAAGATCTTTAGGATCTAACATTCAATCATGGGCATGAGCATTTACTAATGATTATTTTACTGCCGGTGTACAATCAACCTTCCGTAATGAAGGAGAGAACTCAACATTAAAACGTCTGTTTGGGGCTTCAAATCTTTCATTGTGTGAGTTGTTTGATGTTTTAAAAGAACGATATCAAGAAGAGAATGACTATTGCGAATTTATAAATTGGAAACAAACTACACCGCAAATAGGGCCAAAAAATATAGCAAAGTCTATTTTTGAACCCATTGTACAACAACTTAATGAGTTTGTGATGCCTAATATAATGAAAAAGCAGGAGGAGCAAATGAATTTAAGCCTTCATTACCATGCCATAGAAATTGATTTTAAAATTGCACTTTCCGACGAAAAGGTTAATTTCATATGTTTTTGTTTAATCCAAAAAAAGAAACCCCCTTAATTTTTTTTTTTTTAAATAGAAAGTTAATGAATCAGATCAATGTATTGATAACTTATTTGACTGTCCGCAAGTGCATTTGAGCTCATTTTTAAATGATTTTTCAAAAGTTCTTGAAGTCTGGAAAGTCTTAAGCTTAACAAATACTGGCATTTCCCATTTTGTATATTGTTTGGACGATGGTACTTTTCTTTGCACATGTATGATTAACAAGTCTCATGGCTATCCATGCCGTCATTTCTATCGTGTAATGACTCTAACTCCTACTGCAAGATTCCATATTGGCTTGGCGAATAAACGTTATACAACAAGGGGCCAATTTATCAAATAATGAATTCATAGTAGTTTCTTTAGATGCATTAGCATCAACGTCAAAAACACATCCTTTGCCAACACAATTTTATGAATCTGATATTAATAGATTTGAAGAGTCGACTGTTTTGGGACAATCGCATGATGAAATATCTAAAGCTATTTCAAAGAAACATAAATTCGGTGAACTTTGGGGATTAGGGAAAAAAATAATGGTAGACGCAATTGAAGATAACAACGACGATATTTATCATGAACTTCTTAGGTTTTTTTCATCAATCAAAAAAAGAATGATTAAAAGTAGTGATATCGATAATAATTTTAACTATAGTATTGGTGATTGTGATGACGTAATTGTCCAAAATCCTATTGATAAAAGGCCGAAAGGTCGTCCTAAATCAGATTCAAAAAGAATTAAGAGTGCCATAGAAAAGACAACTCAATATAGATGCAGAACGTGCAAACAAAAGGGTCATAATAGCAAAACCTGTAAAGGAAAAAGACCGTCTGACTTTAGTGTTAGCCAGGATGATGAAACTGAAAGGTAAGCTTATTTAATTTACACTATTAATACTTCTCTTAACTATTACTAATATGATAATTTATATATCTAAAGTAAGTTAAGTAATAAAATTAGAAAGTATCCGTGCATCTAATATGTTTATGTTTATTCCTAACGGTATTCTATAGGTGAAGATAATGATGACGAAGAATCATCAACATCTGATACAAGCCACGAGGACGAGGATACAATAGAATCAGGTATTAATTGATCGTGTTTATACTGATAATGAATATTAGTAATGTTTTTTTACCAATGTACATAATTTGTATTTTTAACAGGATTAAATGATGTTATTGTGTTGGTTTCGCCACCCATACAACAAACTGACTTTAAAAATCATAGAAACACGCAAAGACAATGTAGTATTTGCTGTCACAAAGGCCATAATGCCCGAACTTGTCCAAATAAAGGGAGTTAGATCGAGATTAATAATAGAAGCAAAAACCTTGGATATAATGATAGAATGAATCGAGGTTGAAAAGGATGAACATAAGGCTATTATTGGATATCCGAAATAAAATAATAAATAAATAACAGCTTCAACATACTTTATAATGTCTTATTTGTTTACCTATTGTTTATTGAAATTATTGGGATCATGCATTATGTGTAATTGGATAACATGTCTGATTAAATATAACTTATTCAATATTTAGTCGATCAATCGAAATGTTGAACAGTTTTTCGGTCATTAGCAAACCATATTAAGATAATTGTTTGAGATCAGCTTCTATTTGATGGGTGAAAGTAAAGAACAAGAACGGGACTAAATGAAGTATTCGAAATAACCATTCAAGTTCCGAATATTGCCAGATACTGAATATGATTTAAAGGATGTTTAATCAAGAAAGAGTTAAGGGTTGAAAATTGTAAGTAAAATTTTATATTCATTTCTTGTATTTTTCCTAGTTTTCATTTTATACAAACTTATTCTAATTAAAAATTCGCAATTTTCAGCCGATCAACGCATAAATTACTTTAATATAGTACTACACAAAATTCTTCCTTTTATCAAACCATGAATGTTACTGGGTACTTGTTCATAATGAATTCTTGAACAAAACTTCTACAAGTGCTAAATGATCAATAATTAACGTCACTTTTTTTTTATCCTATTTAATTTTGAAATAATACCTTATCCCTTACACTGTCTAGTAATTGCAGTTAGTCAGATATCACGTGGTTGGCCCGATTTACTAAAAGTCCGATGTGGATTAAGTTCTGACGATTATCTCAGATATTTAAACTATGGATCTTGAAATGTCATATGGTTTCTGAAGCTCCAAAAAGTAAGCGAAGAATTCAAAGAGCACAAGGTCTATGCACTACCGAAAATGACATTACCAGAAAGCCCTCGAATAGGAGATTCAATTTGCTTATGACACTATATACTTTAAATTGCAATTACATATGAGCTGCTCAGAAAAATGCATTTGCCAAAAAAGTTTCAGGCAAATTCGCCTGCAAGACGGTGTAAGATTAATTTTGGTAAGTTTGGTTTGTTCATTGAAAATATCATTGATAGTTAATTAATGTCTCTCAGCTTGGTTTATTAAATGTAGCAGGTTATAGTTCGTAGAGATCCTTTCACGTTAATTTTTGTATCTGAAAGCCACAATTTTATAATTTAGCTTAAAAGATTACATTATTTATGAGATTTACTGAATATAATAAAGCCTGAATTATTCATTTGTAAGTAAGATACGATTGTCTAATGATAATCTAATTTAAAGTGGCAATACAATTTATAAAAAATTAATTAACATAATACTTCTTTCAAATCATCAGATTCCCATTATCTATAGTAACGTATTATTAAATTTTTTTTTTTATTGTTATTTCAATATCAAACACCGTCAGCACTACGTAGTAAATTATTTAGACAAATAAAGCAATATTTGTTACATAAAAAGTATTTTATTCTGCTTTTCGGGCTTTGTTCGTTCATTTTTCTCATGATTCATAATTTATTGATTTTTTTTTAGACGATGATGATATGCAAGTAAATAAGACAAGCCACCAAAAGATTCTTAAATGCGATCAAGGCTATTATTTATTCCATTTGTATCATTTACAGCATGCCTTTTTTTAATTCGTTTATCATTTACAGCATGCCTTTTTTTAATTCGTTTACGCATTTATTTATTATTGAAAGTCAATGAAGATAGAAGATATCAGTGGAACATATAACGCTGTTATTGTTATTGAAATTGAAAAAAATAAGCCTAAGGCATTAATTTATATTAGGACCAACTTAGATAAAGCATAAAGCATTCATTTAATTATCAGAAATCGGCAGAGATGAGACATAAGGCGTTTATTTATTATCAGAAAGTGGCTAAAATAAGGTATAAAGCATTCACTTATTAGAAAGTAGCAGAGATAAAGCACAAAATATTCACTTATCAGGCGTAAGACATTCATTTATTATCAGAAATCTGCGGAAATGAGGCAATAAGGCGTACATTTATTATCAAAATTTGCAGTGATGGTATAAAATATTCATTTAATTGCTTTATTTTCTTTTTGCTTATTCCACTCGTGTGTGTGGAATCTATGTAGTGCTGACCTGGAATGTCAAATTTTGTGTTTTCTAATTAGCTGTTTCCCTTTAGGAGTTATTATCAGAAATCAACAGAAATAAGGCGTAAGGTCTATACTTACCAGAAATCAGCAGAATGAGTTACAAGACATGCATTTATTATCAGAAATCGATAGAGAACTTATATTTATTATATAAATCGGCAGAGAAGACACAGACATAGATTTATTATACAGTAAGAAATCGGCTGAGATGAGGTATAAAGCATTCATTTATTACTAGAAAAGAAATTTATGTATTATCAAAATTGGCAGAAATAAAGAATGCTATTGAATATTAGTTGTACTGTTATCGATATTCTATTTTTGTTATTGTTATCTAGAGTATAGTGTATATCCTATTCACGCTTTGGCTAATACGTCTGAATATCCAGTTAGAGCTATTACCCGGGACAGAAAATAATTACCTGAGTAGGTTAAATATTAATCTAGGTTAATGGGCTATAAGAAAAATTCCGAAGATTTTAAAGTTAACACTTATATAAAGTTGATGTAGCAACTTTTATTTAGAGCTACTATTTGGGTCAATGGTTATGTAAGTTGCTCTCAAGAGTCTAGAGCCTATAGAATTTTATAATTTATATTGTGCCTTTATCTATATTATTCATGAATTTTATCAATGTTATTTATAATTTGCTTAGCTAAGTTGGGCCAATTTTTGACCCATGACCTATCGGAAAGATGTCCGTACAAGTCAACCTGATCTCAGTAAAAGCTCTATATTTAGTATGTGATATATTTCTGACTGGGTGAAAAATTATGTATTTCTCTTCGGATTTTAATGTTTTAAAATTTTCTAGTCAGTAGCAATATATTTAATTTAGTTAGCATTAAGATCTGGGTTTTTTTTTTAAAAAAAAATTTGAAAAAATTGACTTACACGTGATCGAATTTGATTGGCTGATCATGGGGTCGCCATAAAATAACGCCCATATTAAAAAATAATATTTAAAGCATTTATTTATACATATAAATATTTAATTACATCATATTAAACAAAATTAATTGTATACCGGTAATTATTTATATCTTTATTGAAATCTATTACAAACCTTTTTTGTACCGTACCTAAAAGTATACATAACCTTGGGTACGGTACACTTTTTTTTTAATTACCTATTTTTTTTTCATACCGTACCCAAATTGTTAATATTAGATTTGGGTATGGTAAACTTTTTCATTAAGTATATATTTTTTTTGCGTACCTAACACCAAAAAAAAAAAAAAAACTTAGTACGGTAATTATTATTTTTTTTTGTGTACCCTGCTCAAAAAAATTTATCTGGGTACGGTCACTTTTCTGTACCGTACCTTACCGGATACTTTGTACTGTACCGTACCCAAAAGGTATATACTCCACTTGTTTGGTGTGCTGAAATTTTAATTCATCCAAGAAATTATGTCTTTAAATTTTATACACAACATATGAAGATTGACTAAATTTCAATAAGCTCAAAAAAAAGAAGTTAAATTATACTTTATTATAAACTTCATTATGAACGTCGATTGTAATTATGTAAAAAATGAACGTTGCATTTTTCAAAGCTAACGCTCCAAGATAAAGTCTATATTTCCATGGATAATACGCCAATTTTTTTAAAAAAATGGACTGGTTTCCATAAAAGTTTATAGGTAATCTGACTTATTAAGAACTATTTACAAAACCGTTCACCAACTTTTTCAATTTTATGCACCTGAAGATTTTCCCTTTCAATTTCAAATACTGCCTTTTTAACTCCGGTATCAGGCTTCACTTTAACATTAATGGACGCAATCTTAAGGTCTAGAAGGACACCGATTCTAAAATTAAGTATCTAATAAATAAATAAATCGAAAGTAAATATAAATACGATATTACATATAGAATAACAAAAAAAAAGAAAGGGAACAAAAAATTACCATCAAGAACAGGGTTTGGAAGAAAAAGAAAGAATAAAGAATAATTCAACAAAAGAATACAGAAATATATGGGAGATAAGACCTAAAAACGGAAGAAACAGTGCCGCTCACTTCGTAGACAATCACATTATAGGTAACTTAGACAATTAATTCACAGACAAGATTATTTTACTAGTTCACAGACAATTTCATTTCACCGACAGCTTATTTCATAAACAGCTTATTCTACCAATAGCTTATCTCACAGGCAAAGTAATTATTGTCGCGGATGATCGTGAAATCTGGGGGCCTTGATTTAAAAATATAAACCCTACTAAAACCCACCTATACTCTTTTATTATAAACTCTAACCCTAAATCCTAGTCCAAATCTAAAAAAAAAAGTCTAAAAAAATATACCCTAAAAATTTTTAAAAATCGTATATTAAATAGGGTTTGATTTCACGATCATCCGTGACAATTATTTAAAAAAAACTTGTGAAATGAGCTGTCGGCTGTCACGAGATAAATTGTCTATAAAATGAGTTGTCGGTTAAATAAACTGTTTGTGAATTAACCGTCTGCAAACTAAGTCGTCTATTATGTGATTGTCGGTGAAGTCACGGATCAAAAAAAATTTAATAACTTTAATAATGGAAAAACATGACAAACAATGAAATAAAACTAACCACCGCGAGGATACATTGCATGAAAAACGCAAGAAAGTGAAAAGCAATAGGATGCTTGCTTAATTTAGAATCCAGTGTCTCCAGCATTTTTGACATCTAAAAAAAAAAAAAAAAGGATTAGAAAAATTAAGATAAGGGGCTATGCAAAAGTGGATTTCACTCTCAGGCGATCTACATATCAGTCTATATCAGATTTTGCTGCAACTTAAGTTTCGTCTATCGTAACTTAATTAATTGTTGAACATTTAACTACACCTTTTTTGCGTTCTCCTGTTTGACTGGTTCACCATCATCATCCTGGTTTTTGGTCGATCTATTATTCTCCTTAGTATCTTCCTTCAATTTATCTCCCGACTTCAATGCTTCTATCTTATCTGCATCCTTTTCTTGGCCTTTGTGCGATTTACTACACTTGTCGCCAAATTTATTATTCTCCGTAGTATCTTCCTTAAATTTATCTCCCGACTTCAATGCTTCTATTTTTTCCTCCAGCGCATCCTTTTCTTGGCCTTTGTGCGATTTACTACCCTTGTCGCAATTTATCCTGAAATTTAAGCACAACGGTAGCGTCTTCAACATCGACAAAAGGGTCTATTTGAATATTGAGGGATAAAAACTTAACATCGAAGCCGAAGGTGGATCCGGTCTAGAAAATTAAATAAATAAGAAATAAATAAATGTAATATAATAAATATAAGACTTAATGTAATATAATAGTGACAATACTAGCAGCAAATTTATATAGACTTTGAAAACAAGAGGAAAACGTCTCCAAAGAATTGATACTATAAAATGCAGGATTTAAGGCCTAAAAAAGATTTATTTAATAATGAAAATCAAATAACCCTATAAAAAAAAATTAAAGATTTTGTTCAGATTATTATTTTAAAAATGAGTATTCTTTCGTAACAAAATCCATATAAAACCTTTTTAAATTCCTGAATATTTCCGATTTCCTGGTTATAATTTATATAGAAAAAAATTTTTAACCAAGAAATCGGAAATATTCGGGAAATTTATGGAATTTAAAAAGGTTTTATATAGGTTTTTGTTACGAAATAATCCGAACATCTGAATATGACTTTATCTTTTTTTTATAGGGTAAAATAATAAAAGCAATAAAACTAACTGCTGTGATGAGAAATTAAGTTAGAGGTGGTTAAAGGATCTTTGTCATTTTTGCCATTTTTGTCGTCTTTTCCTTTGTTTCCTTTGGAGTATTTAGGGCTTGATGACATCTGAAATAAAAAAGAATTAGATAAAGAATAACGAACAATAAAACAGAAGTTAATTAATTAATTAACTAACCGTTAGAATAAATGCTTAATTTTGAGAACTTGTTTTTTCTTCTTAAAAAAAATATTCTATAGATAAGTAATATTTTCATTCTGTTATATGCAAAAAAGTCATCAAGTCGATGATTCAGATTATCCTTATGAGGTTCTATAGAATAGGTGGGTAAACTCCGCTAAATATCTAATAATGATTACTCATTAGCGAAGTTTATTTTTTATATTGCCCACCTATTCTATAGAACATCCAGGATGGTATTTCGTATAAACTTTTTCGTTTCACATATATTATGCATATTCCCTATAAAAAAAATTTCATGGAATTGTTTGAAAATCGACTCCATTTCGAGCATTTAAAGGATGTTTATTGGATGAATGCGTTTTTATACTTTTTTATAAAAATTTCCTATTTTTTATGTCCTGTACAAACGTCGTTATGAAAACAGTACAAATATAAACCCTGTTCGGAAAATCGACTCCGTTCCGAACATTTTTTTGGACAATGCCTACAATAACAGTACAAATTTTTTTATAGGGATGTAGTACTTGGAGATTGGGCCCATTGAGAAAATCCTTACCAAGTTATCATTTGAGATGTATAGCAGCAATATTTACTTGTGTTCTGCCTGGTATTGCTTAATATATTAGAAAATTCACAAGTGTCATTGTCCTGGTCGTTTTTACCGTGCATATAGAGATTCGATTTCCTAAAAGTTAATAGGGCCGAAAGGCACGACCACGAGTACTTTAGTCATGACACAAAAAATTGTCACTACAAACAATGATCTACTATCCATGTTATTTCACAACTATCCACGACGTTGGTTCTAATAATTGACACAGTACAATTAGGGTTGTTAATGGAGTCTCCAGGTTGTACTTCAGGTTGTGCTCCAGGTTGTGCTCCAGGTTAGTGCTCCAGGTTAATGCATCGGGTTAATGCTCTGGGTTATAAGAATAATTTTACTCCAGACCACTCCATATGGAGCAATCCGGGTTTTGCTCCAGATTACTTCATATAAGCATAGGCTGCTTCATCCCGAATCTATAAAAGTGCTCTATAGCTAATTCACTTAATTATTCCTCTATTTTCGTGGTTATTTTGACAGTATGTAGAGCGAAAGGTGTAGTTTCTGAATATATATTCGGTCCCCTGGACAATTCGTTTAAAGTCAGATAATATAGTTTGGTATTAAAGGTTAAGTAAAAAAAAGCTCTATCTATATGATTGTTGATAAAAATATTGGCTTGAATTCATAAAAATCAGTCTATTAAGTACTAGTCTAAAGTAATTTGGTTTGACAAGCTAAAATTCAAAACTTTTAGGCTTGATAGTAAATTATACTCTAGAAAGCATCTTGAGAAATTATCAATTTGATTCTATATTTAAGTTTTGAGATAGATTTGTAAGAATATAGTTTTATATTATATTTCATAGTATTTATAAACTTTACAAAGTCAACTATACAATGAATATTGAATTAAACTAAGGCGATACAAATAAAATTTTTTGGTTTATATAACATTTGAAAAATTTTCAGACCCAGCCATCTGGAGTTTTTTTTATATAAATAAAATTTTTTATAAGTAAAACCAAATTAGTTAATCGATCCTCTGTATAGGGTTGGCAAATTACCGTAATTTTACGTAATTTTACGTAAATCGGTGAAAGTTTCAGAAATCAAAATTACATGTAATTTTGATCATGCGAATAATTTTGGCCAAAACTTTTATAAATCTGGCATCAAAGTAAGTATAAAATTACAGTTCCGAACATAATGACGGATAACTATTAATGCCGGCAAAACTTATTTAACGCTGGTGCAATTTTCACGTGACAATGCACTATTTAATGTAAAGTTACATTACAATTTCGTAAGTTACAATGTAATTTCATGTAACGTAAAATGTAATTTATGTAATGCCAACCCTACCTCTGTATCACATTTTAGCTAAAGCAAAAACAGCTAATTTATACACTTTAGTAAAAGCAACAACAGAAACAGCCTTAAAGAAAAAGCTAGAGGAAGCAAAATTAGCTAGAGTCTCTTAGTACAGATAGACAACTTTGAAACTTTGGCTCTCTCAACCTTGGAAAAAACTAAAATTTTTGCTTAAATTTTTTCTCTGGTAAAAACTTTTTAGAAAAGTTGGGATCTGCCCAAAACCCTGTATTGCAGATCACAAACCAAACAAACAAACAAACAAACGCATTCCAAATTAGTTTATTTTGAATGAACAGTGTATACACGTGTCCTGATTAGGATAAAAACAAACAAACAACAAACAACAATTAGAAATAAACAAACAGTTACGTGTTAGAAAGTAGTTCTAGTATATTCTAGAAAAGTTACAATGAAATTAACTCAACATACACAGAACAAATATAGTAGATAAAAATATGAAGTTAGAAGATTTTAAAGATTTGGCGATAGCTTCGAATGCAAGATTACAGGAGCTATATAATAAAAATCAGCTTTTAACACTTAACATGGATAAGCATATAGCAAATTATCTCAAGTATGAAAACCCGGAGTTTATTACAATACTACGTCAAGTAATTGATAGTTATAAGTGGGCAAAATTAAAAAAAGGCCAAGGCAAGGAACTTTCAATAGAGGAACACATACTAATAGGAAATGTAACCGAAGTTACAACCAATACAAAGAGTAAAGAAAAAGCAACAAAACCTCAAACTGTTTATGCACACAGTATAAACATGGTAATCAACTCTGCGGATAAGCTTAAAAGGAAAAGAGCTGCAGAAGATAATATAGAAAAGTCTGAAGCAAGAAAGAGAGAAGAAAGTATCACAATCAGATTAGCAGAAATGAGCCTAAATGAAAGCGAGATAGAAATCCTAGAAGAGGATAAATCAGCAAATGCATAAGAAAAGGCAATGCTAATATACACTAAATGTGAACATACAGATCATAGCACACAAATGACTAAAGAGTGGGTCTCATTAGTTAAGAAAAAAGAACTATACAACAAAAAAAAAGAAAAAGAAGAAATAGAATTAAAATATAAAGAAGATATATAGTTCATTGTGGGCTCCAAATAGTAGAAAAGTGCAAAACAAGTACAATGTAGAAACCACACCAAGGTTTAACAAAAAAAAGAGAATTGTAATTAAAAATTACTATTTGAGACTTGCCTAGATTAACAAGTGCTGCAAATATTGCGAGAAGTATAAAATATTATAGCAGGATCGAAATTATCGAGTAGCAAAGCAAAAAAGAATCCAGAGCAGTTTTTTTAAAGATTAAGGATAGAAATAAAGTAGAAAAGAAAAGATTACAAGATGCATGAGCAGTACTTTTTGAAAAAGGAAAACTATGTAGAGTTATAGCAGATAGATTTAATGCAACTACATTAGAAAATAGAAAAAAATTCAGACTAAGACTCAAAAAAATTTCACATAGAGTATCTGAAGAACTACTTCTCAGACAACTCAAAAGACTTAAGGCAAAAATGATTTGTATATTCAAAAGTAGCTATGGCAAACAAAGAAGTATAGCTTTCATACTTTGCTTCATTAGAAGACTTACTAAAAGCTAAGTCAGTCACCCCAAAATACTTTGAGGATATACTAGAATGGGGTAAAGATAGATATTACAACTTAGTAGAGTAGTTTGGGAATAAAGAGAATAAATATAGAACTAAACCAAGAGATATAAGTGGCTTTTACTCAAAATACCAAAATAAACATTATAATAAAAGAGGTAAAGAATAAAGGCAAACATTAACTTAAAGCAAGAAAGTAGAAAGAATAGTATTTCTAGATTATGCAGCATTACTAAAAAACCACTTAAAAGAGATAGCAATATGATGACAGGCAAGCAAGAACATCAAAAATTTACAGTAGCATCTGGTTTAAATAGAGAAGAACTAGGTAAAAGAAAAGAAAAAGCAAGTTGATCTAGAAGAAGAAAAAGAAATTGAGAAAATTTTAGAAAAAATGAAAGAAAGATTTAAAATAATGGAAAATCTGCTTGTACGTTGCTTCTAAAATTAGCCATAGTTAAACTAAAGAAAAGGGGTAAGGCAAAATCCCTCACTACTGCCTTACAAAAACCCAACAAACTAAAACAAAGTGAGAAAAAGATAGAAGATATCAGCTTTGAGTTACTTAGAACAGGATTTCACAATATTAATAGGCTTAAATTAAACAAACAAAATTACTAGCACTAGCAGAAGTAGATAAAGAGAAGGGTTTGAATATTATTGGTATCGCAGAAACTAATATAGATGAAAAAGAGAGAAAATGGGTAGAAATGAGTCAACAGGGATATATTAGTTTCTGGTCTGCTAGAGAAGAAAATAAAAATAAGAAATCTGGAGTCAGGATGCTAGTAAATAAGAAGTGGTCAAAGCATTTAGGCAAGGTGGTCAAATATAGCCTATATGTTCTCAAAATAGAGTTCTTTTTCAGAAAAGTAGTAATACAAGTCTAGATTACTTACTTATCACTATTAGACAAGAAAGTTAATAGAGAGACTCAATGTACAATAATAAGAGAGATTTGTAGTAACAAGATAAATATATATACTATAGTGCACTAACCAAAAGACCCGGGGTCTAATACAAAATACCTAACAAAAAACTTACAAAAGACCTGGATATATTATACAGCAGTGGGCCAGAGCCACAAGAAAAAAAAATTTCAAGCATATACATATTTTGCACTTACAATAAGCAGTCTAAAATTTTAAAAAAAAACCTATATTTAATTAATAGAGATCTCATGTTTTGCACCAGGTACTTTGCAAGAGGGGATATTAAAAAGGGGGATACTTTGGTTAGTGCACTACAGTACTTGTGTGATAGGAGACTTTAATGTATTAGGTAGCACAGACTTAGATACAAACAACAAAAAGCATAGTAGTCAGGGGCTCAGCAAAATGCTTATAGAGTGGCTTAGAAATTATAACTTTATAAACACTTTTTGATATTTAAACCCATATAAAAAAGAGTATACTTGAAAAAAAGAAAATTCTGAATCAAAAATAGATTATATATGGGTAGGAGAAGAAATGCAAGATATACTCAACGAAGCTACAATTAAAGATATAAATGTGGCTACTGGTAGCGATCACAAATTAGTTATAGCAAGAATAGAGACAAATGTAATACTCAGATATGGTAACTTTCGTAAAAAAAAAGGAAAGCATCCAACATGTAGAATCTTCCTTTATTACAAAGCTTCAGAAAAAAATTAGGAGGCATATAGTAAATGCATAGAGTATAAACTTAGAAGTAGAGAAATTTTAGATGCTAGTGAGAGTACTCAGGGTAGTATAAAAAATATCAATGAAGAATGGGATATTATTAGTAATGCAATTACACAGGCAGCGCTTAAACATATACCCTGGATTAGTACTAGTAAAACAGAAGCACAAGCCAAAAAGTCGGTCCCTAAGTACAAGATATATAAAAAAATCAAGTTTCTTTATTTGTTACAAAAAAAAGAAATATGCTCTTAATAGAAAAGAATAAGTGACTTAGACAAAATAAAGCTTAATACACAAATCGAAAGGATAAACCATGAGTATCAAACACAAATTTCACAGTTACCAGAATTATGGAGCCAGGTAGAAGTAGAAGAACTGAAGAATTAGGAAAAAGTTCTAAGAAAAAAAGCACAAGAAGAAGAATAGCATATTAAAGAAAAAGAAATTTATTACAAAATTGAACAAAGATTCAATATGATGAGCAAAGATAAGAAGAAAATACTACAAAATTTGTTAAATAAATCGTTCAACAAAGTAATACTAGATAGAGTTCTCATAGAAGAAAGCTCACATTATCAGAATCAAGAACTTATCAGTGATGAATTGGAGGTTAAGCAACAAGTAAATTCACACTTTCAGAAGCAATTTAAAAAAAGATCACAAAAGTTTGAGAAGATAAGTCAAGCTTGGCAAGAAGAATACAAGCCAAAGATTAGGTAGATACTAGCTAGTATAATAGTATAGTAGACCCAATCAATAAAGAAGAATGGCTTTAGTTTCTTCACAAAATACAAAATAAAACAGCCCCAGGCCTCTCAGGAATCAGTTATATACTACTCAAGAAAGTCGCATCAGAAACAACTAAAAGACTAGTGAATTTTGTAAACTTAGTGCTTGAGTATGGAAAAATTCCAGAAAAATGGAAGTTAGGGCAACTATATCTAATACCAAAAGGCAGGTTTTGGGAGTATAACCTAAACAACACAAGACCGATCACACTTTTAGAAACATTTAGAAAAGTCTTAACTAGAGTAATACAAGTAAGACTAGATAAAGTAATTAGAAAAAATAGTATTCTAAAAGAGGCAAATTTTGCAGGCTTGTCGGGAGAAAGTACAATAACCCCAATACATATTATGAACAATGTAATAGAGAAAGCTACAGAAAAAAAGAAAGAAATCTGGATTGTATATCAAGATATAAAAAAAGGCATTTAATTCTGTAAGCATGGTAGCACTTAAAAAAGTACTTGAAAGGCTAAAGTTTCTATCAAAGCTAGTTGGGTTCATCCTGAGTTTGTATAAAAATAGAAAAATAAATACAATAACAGAGTATGGAAACACAGACTTTATAGAAGCAGGAGATAGAATTGATCAAGGAGAAGTTCTATCTCTCTTGGTATGAAGAATCTTCTATAACTCCTTGCTATGTAAGGTACAAAGTGCTAACCTGGGATATGAAATGCAAATAGAAAGTAATAACTTTAGAGAAAGACTTTGGGTAGGTGTTTTAGCCTATGCTGATGACACTACATGGATAGCAAATGATCAAAAAAGCATGCAAAGAACATTAGATCTTTCAAATGAATTTTACAAACTAAATGATATTAAGATTAATCCAAAAAAGACAGAACTGGTTGTGCTTAAGTCAGAAAAAAAGAGAAATATCAGAGATCTCCATGTATGGATAGAAACACCAAAGTCAAAGGTACTAGCTAACAATTACGAAGATGCAACATGGTTTTTGGGGGTTTGGATCTCAATTAAGAACCAACAAAGCTCTGATTTAAAAAGAGCGAAAAAAGATATAAACAAGTTCGTTGGCCTACTAAGACACAAAAAAATATCCATAAGTCAAATAGTGTATATGAATAATGCTATTCTAATACCGGCATTAGAATATAGACTTATGTTTTCATGTCTAACAAGAACCCAGTGTGACAGAATATATCAACTGATGCTATGTTTAGTGAAGTGGAAAATGTCGATGCCATCTACAATAACAAACACACTACCGAAGCACCCAGAGATAATAAATTGCAAAAGCCTATAAAATTACCATATAGAACACCAAATTACGAAGTTGTTAATAAGGCTAAATGAAGAAAAGCTTCTTGAAAAATTAACAACAATTAGACTTAAGCAGGGACAATTAAAAGTAGGCTTCACAAAGTGCATTTTAACAAACAAAAAACTCTTAGGAAAAAGAAATTTCAAAATTAAAAACCTAGACATGCAAATTTTGTAGTAAGCAAAAACTCTAGGTTTTGACTTAAGAGAAAATGAATTTACAAAAAGCTGGGATCTTAAAATAGCACAAGTGGCAAATGACCTCGAGATAGCAGAAGTTTTGAAAAAAAAACATTTGTGTTATGAGAAATATAATATGAGCAAAATGGGTATGTGTGTTATATTACAACTTATAACAGAAGATGGTAGAACAATGCATACATGGAAGCAGCTTAAATCAGTATATAACATCAATCTAAGAGGAAAAAAAACCAAGTGGTTCACTGAGTTAGAAAAAGAAATAATCATAAATATAGAAACAAGAGAAGTTGGATTGAGATATTAAATCAGTGGACATAATCCAAATACATCTAGAATATTGTTAGATTTGGTAGGAGAAGACAAAAGATCTAAAGAGTAGATCGTGT